GTATAACGAGGTTTTATTCTAATGGTAGCAGTATAACGATGTTTTACTCTAACTGTAACAGTATAACGAGGTTTTACTCTAACGGTAACAGTATAACGAGGTTTTACTTTAATGGTAGCGGTATCACGATGTTTTACTCTAACGGTACCCGTATAACGAGGTTTTATTCTAACGGTAACAGTATAACGAGGTTTTAATCTAATGGTAGCAGTATAACGAGGTTTTATTCTAATGGTAGCAGTAAAACGAGGTTTTATTCTAACGGTACCGGTATAACGAGGTTTTATTCTAACGGTAACAGTATAACGAGGTTTTATTCTAATGGTAGCAGTATAACGAGGTTTTAATCTTATGGTAGCAGTATAACGAGGTTTTAATCTAATGGTAGCAGTATAACGAGGTTTTATTCTAATGGTAGCGGTATAACGAGGTTTTACTTTAATGGTAGCGGTATCACGATGTTTTACTCTAACGGTACCGGTATAACGAGGTTTTACTCTAATGGTAGCGGTATAACGAGGTTTAACTCTAACGAGGTTTTACTATAACGAGGTTTAACTCTAAGGGTAACAGTTTAACGAGGTTTAACTCTAACGGTAACAGTAAAAAGAGGTTTTACACTAATGGTAGCAGTATAACGAGGTTTTACTCTAACGGTAACAGTATAACGAGGTTTTACTCTAATGGTACCAGTATAACGAGGTTTTACTCTAATGGTAGGAGTATAACGAGCTTTTACTCTAATGGTAGCAGTATAACGAGGTTTTACTCTAACGGTTACAGTATCACGAGGTTTTACTCTAATGGTAGCGGTATAATGAGGTTTTACTCTAATGGTAGCGGTATAACGAGGTTTTACTCTAACGGTAACAGTATAACGAGGTTTTACTCTAATGGTAGCAGTATAACGAGGTTTTACTCTATATTAACTTTCCGTGTATTTGAGTAACCGTTGGAAGGCAACTGAATTTCACAATCGATGAAAGCAAATTTCTTGCTCTTTTTTTTTTTAAAGTTTGCACGCGTTTAGCAATTGAATACTTTATACGAATTATTATCCAAGATAGTGTTCAATCAACTCAGTTACCTATATGATCACTGACCATTCATATGTTAATGAGGAAATTCAGCTGAGCAGTTCGGTATTTCAAACTCTACAATTACTCAAATTTTAACTTCAAATAGCAAACCGCAATATAACGAATTGTTTGTGATTTAATGGGTTTTCTCTCCTTGTTCTTGTTTTTCTTTTTCTTTCTTTATCAAATCTAGACGTAAAAAATGTCTCGAATACAAATTCTAGGAACACCGCCTGATTTAGATAATTACCATCCAACTGAACTACATTTTAGCCGGAGTTTTGACATTTTTGTTTGGCGGTTTATTGTCTCTTAAGTGCATGCGGACCATGCTTGAATTATAGAAAATTATGAGCGATGGACAACAGTCACAAGTACCATGATAGTGCTTTCTGCTATCGATGTGTTTTCACAGTTCCTGAACAATGCATGAATGTTTAATTCATAAATGTGACTCTGTCGTAATTCGGGAGGTTGACAGCCTGCGGAGGGGAATGTCTTTTAGATTCAATGTAATATTTCTATGTCAATAATACAGTTTTGCTCCGTGTAAGAAAGCTTGTAATTCAGTAGTGTTCTGATGGATTTCCGACCAACCTTCATAAACAATTCAAAAACCAATATATACATATTTCAAGCCTGAAAGCTCTTCGAATGCTGATTTGTGTTTCTGTCCGCTGTCCATGTTTCTTATACAAAACAAACAAAACATCATTCTCTGACAGTGAAACTGATTTTGTTTTGTTTTTAAAAGGGGTGTCAATCTTTAATAAAAGGAAATATAAATTGAGCAGCAAATGCCGTTTGCAGGACAGAAGAAGAAAAGTCGTGGATCGATAGAAGGTCGGTCCGTGATAGCGGGCAATTTGATTATCAATTAGAGCCACACGCCCTGTATTCTGATGTATGTTGATACAATTATGTCGGACGCTCCTCGACAAATTACAAGTGACAGAAAACTGTGATTATATGGAATAGTCATATACTGTGAAAACAAAATCTCTGTGTCGTATCTCGGGATATGTTTTAGCATTACAATTTACAGAACTCGCCCAAGGTTACAAAAACCAGAACATTAAAGTATAAGTTTCGGTCCTTTTTAAAAGAATTCCATAAAAAAACATCTTGCGATGAATTTTTGCAGATTTTTTCTAAGTTTTTCAAAATTTAAATATCTGACACAAAAAAAATAATCCCTGGGCGATCTTAGAACCTATCTACATGCATTCTACGCTTTTCAATGTTTTTTATCCAGGAATTACAAACATCAATAAAAGATGAATACCTTGCAAAGCGAATTTACTCTAAGCGAGGAAAATCCGTTTAATTAACTTTATTTTCAACATATACAGAGGATACTCCAATTAAAAGAAGTGGAACTTTTATCTTTGCGATTATGACTGGTGCAGTAATACAGTTCAATTCATCTAAGGTTGTAAATTTAATACATACTATTTATACTACAATTGTTGTTATCTTCCAATTTTAGCAAGAACCATTACACGTGTATGTTTCAAACCGGAAACTATTCACTTCTTTCGGTCAAACAATTTGAACGGTCGGGGAGCAATCATGACGTCAAATCAAAATTATGACGGAAATTACCGAGTAATATCCGATTGATATTCGCCGCCAAACGGAACTGATAACCATAGGAAGCACGATCCTGTTCCCGCAAAAATGTCTGTTTCACTATTTGGCAAACCATTTTTCTTTTAAATGTATTTTTTTTAACCGAGTGAGTCTTTGCTGTTTTGAAGGTAAAGATAATGATTGAAATGCGTCTTTTTAATATTTATGATGGTATGTAACACAGTTTGATGAAAACTTATCCTTGAAAAATACTAATAATAACGCTAATAATAATAAGGGTGAATTCGGTACACAACAACTCAAAATATGCACGAAAGACAACAACAGGTATCGAGGAGACACCAAAACGAAAAGAAAAAACCTCCGAACAAAAATCGAGGCAAAATCGGAAGCTCCGAAGGCACTTTTTTACAGCACCAGACCTAGCTATCCATCTCATGTTTACTGTTAACACAGATCCCAGACGTTGACCACATGTATGACGTTGATTGTTTTCAATATACTTTCCTGGTTTTTTTTTAATGTTTAAAGTACTTTTACCGTTAAATAAATAAATACATATTTCAAAAATCTTTTAAAGTAAAATAGATAGAAAAGAATAATGTAACGTCAATGATGAAGAATAAATTCGATATGACCAAAACTACAACACTATCTGGGAAAGCATTAAAATGAAGGAGTCATGATCAACTCCCACACAAAACCAGTGAAAACTGTAGATACCAAACTAACCAAGACACATTTCAAATCACAGACGCTGAATCCTTATACAGTAGCAATTCAACACTGACATGTACATTCCATATGCAGATGACACTGATATGTACAATGTAAGTAGCTACTGAGGCAAGGCTTATTTGTCTGGAATTTCACGGTCCTCGCAGCGGCTAAGATAATACAAAAACGGGTGCTTGGAGGGACAACATCAAAATGAAAAACTAGGTATATGTTTGGTTTCTTTGTGTTTTATGTCCTATTAACAGCTATGGTCATTTCAGGACATGCCAGGTTTTGGAGGTCGAGAAAAGCCGGAGTTCCCGGAGAAAAAACCACGGACCTGCGGCCAGTACCTGGCGACTGCTCCACGTAGGCTTCGAACCCGCAACCAAGTGGCGGACGGCTAGTAGTAGCAGAATGTCAGACGCCTGAACCACTTGGCTACCGCGGCCCTACTACTAGGTCAATGAGAAAAGAAAGATATCCTTAGTATTGCTATATGGAATGCAGAACAATTTCAGTTTCTTCAATGTTCCAAACGCTTAGGACACAGACAAAACCCTATGCAGTGGACCCTCATTAGTCGTCTCTTACACAAAAGTTAAATACAGTATGCCTTTTCCTTCCTTACCTCTTCAGATGTTCTGAAGGAAGAACGCTTACCGGTCATAAACTTAAAGTCGCTCTTTGTCAACATAGTAGATGAAATGAAATATTTCAAATTAAGCACAACATATGTATGGAAAGCATTTCTCTAAAAACTTAAAAATGTGAAACATTCTTTAAATCATGAGTCTGAATACTAATGAATAAGATCATGGTGTTTATTCATACGGGATATTCAAAATACAAGTGTTCCTGAAAGGTAAATAATTAATTGCATGCTGATGTCCAAGCCGAAATATTTCGCTAGACACAATATCACCAAAAATGTCTAGCTTAGTGGCAGTACTGTTATCGCGTTGAACACGACTTCAGTTCTCTGTATGGTGTATAGCTACATTATACTGGCACTATCGCCAGCCGATCGGCAGAGAGGCGTCAAAACATACATCTTCTGTGTGACTTACATTTGATCTACAGTAACAATTGTTGAGAAACCTTTCTGGCGCATTAATATGTATACATTTAAAAGTGATCAGGCGTTAATGATTCGTGATGCGGTTGTTCCAAGTATACCGTTGCGGTGCGGCATATACACAATACATCACTTCATCTGTGGGAGCAGACAATTGTGCTCTGGGATGTGATTTTAATCGTAGTATTATTTAAACAGTTCTTCCTGCAGTGACGTCACTGGGTTTACCGTCCTACCGGGGCCGACTAACAACCAGTGTAGTTACGCCACTCAGCTGAAAGCACGCGTGCGATATATATCATGTTCATCTAATCTATTTCATTATCCTCTGATGGGCAATCAGCATGATCTTAACAATGATAAATTAAAATACAGTTTAAAAATAATCAATTGCATTTCTTTCAAAGAATTTATAGTGAAATGTGACCTTACAATAGACCTGTATCACCCCGAAGGTTAAGAAAATCGGCGTGTCCAAGTTGTGTGCTTGATGGAGTTATTATCGCTAGCAGGGATATTTCGTTTTCAGAAGATCGATAAAACTTATTTCATAAAATGAATCCATATTTTTTTTAATATATATTTTGACCGTGTTGACAGAATAAGCCGACTTAGCGTGACAGATGGTCGATTGGATGACAAGGTTTATCTCGGACAGATATAAGTGTTTTATTTATAAAAGACTCATGAAATGTTTATTCCAGCAAAACACCTTAACCTGTCGACTGTCGTGAAACAGATTGGAATAACTCGTCTCAAATCCCATCGCTGGTTCATGCTTGGATGCGCATGGAGACCTACCCTATATTGGTAGCTATTTAGATTTAATGATCTAATATTTTGATAGTTCGTTGCTAACGAGGTAGGCGATCTTGTCATTTAGGGCTCAACAGCATATTAATATAGAAGGAGCGAGGATAGCGCGGAGGATTTAGTTGTCATCACCCTCAGACAGTAAGCTTGTTCTGAATAACACTGCACGAACACCCAGGACTTTCCTCCACTGCAGGTCACCGACATGTCGTTTCGACAAGGAGAGTACATTAGTTGTCATCAATTCGATGAGTAGGAGTCTGTGTTCTTGTTACGAAAGGAATCATCTTTCTTTAAAGGAACAGTGATTGTGTAAAGATTGTGTGGTATCGCTGCTATCAGAGTGTTACACCAGCAATGGGACACCCACAGCTTGCAGCGATCTGTGTTCAGGCCATCCTAACAGGTAAGTCGTGTGTTATCAATCTCACGTATGTTTACTGTAACACCTTGATAATTGTTTCCTCAATCAATTCTGCATCTCTATCTACCTGTTCAACGCCAGCCACCTGTCAGTCTGTCTAAATGACACGTGCGTGTGGCTTTATCCGTCAAACAGAGTAAAACCTACATGTAATCTTCACGTAAGCGCCTCATAATAAACATCTCAATGCCACTGATGTGTTTTTCATCTTTCGGTCCTCTCTTCATTATCACTATCAAAACGGATTGACCATTCCGTTAACCACCGCGTTACTCTGATAGACAACATTTTGTAAATTGTTTTATATTTTGTTAATTTCATATATCACTGATATATTTCCTTCCTTGTCCGGCATTCACAACATTTGTTATTCATATTTAAGTTTAATCCATCCTTTGTATCCTTAAACTCATATTTTCATTTTCTTTTAAGTCTTTGTTCAAGAGGTTGGGTTAATGAAGTATGTCGGTTGGTTGCCTACACCTTTGTATTGCTTACTCTTGTTCTGAAATGGATTTGAAAACAATTAAATAAACCTGCTTTTTTATTATCGTGGGTGTTAGAGACGTCGATAAGATAATCCCTACGGAAATCATTCAATGAGGAGAGTAATGAGCAAATGTTTTATTTTCCTTGAGATCCTGAGAATTCATTATGTTCCTAACGTAAATAGCTATCGAAACACAAAAAACTTGATTTTAAAATTAAAAAAAACCCATCATGTGCATATGCTCTTTATTTTTTTCACAATTGTCATTTGATTTTGTCCTGTCATCATGTTAAACAGTAAAATTATATATAATCATTTTAGATTTTTACAAACCTTTTACGTCCTTTAGACCAAACTTTCATCTCTTCAATAGTTAGCTTCTGGAAATAGTTTAAAAAAATAAATCGTTAACAACGACATTTCGAAGAATTATATTTAATACATTGATACCACTCAAGAACTGAAACCTTGGTGCATTTACTAGAATGGTACACATCCATCCATACATTGAGTATGCTTAGAGCAATATTAAATAGTTCCCATATGTATGACAGACATCAAATATGATAAAATCTTAAGCAATGGTAACCCGAAGGGAAATCTTAAAATTGAGAAATAAATCTTAGGCGATGATAGCTGATTAGGTAAACTATGAATGAAGATAATCTACGGCAATGTTGATTAATAAATATCTTAACTACATGAACTGAGAAAGTCTACTGTAACGTTAACTGAAAATGGGAATATAAGATAAAGGGGAAATCTCAAGCAATGATATGTAATTCAGCCATGTCAAATGGAGGAAATTCTCAAGGATTTTTAACTCAATGGTAAATCTAATAGTTGAGCAAAACCACAGCCAAAAGTAAATTACTCCAAGATGAATGTTCAATGTAAACGTGTTTGGAAATTTCAAGGTTTAGAAAATTATCAAGACTCGACAGATTTGGCATAAATGGAACCAATCGGCATGATACTCAAAATCTACATCTGGATGACTTACGTTTTCTCCTCTCTCTGGAATTTAAAAGGGAGTCAATGCAATGCAGCATACAACAATTACAATTAAACGAATTTATCTTAAATATATGTATTGTGTTCAAATGAAAATTCACATTTGTTACAATGTGTTAATTTATTCCTATATAATCTACAGCAGTAGTTATTGTTGTATAATAGAGGCAGTTTTGTGTAGTTTTGCGCTAAGTAGATCATAATCGAAAACACAACTCCAGACGGTACGTTTTGATAAAAGTGCACAGCTTATTTTATTTAAGCTTTTTTGTGTATCCTATTGAGTAAAATTATGTTAAAGCTAGTCATTATATAAGAAACACATTGGATTTACTCAAAGCATTGTCTATATTTATAACGAGGCCCGTCTGGGGAGATACTCAGTTTTCATTGACGTTTAACACAATCACAAATCACATTACATACGTTCCCTTTAGAGTCTGGTTTAGAGGATATGTTACTGACTAGTATCAGGAACAGACTACTGTATAAACGTCACACGCTTAAAATGTAATGAAATTAATGTTGTAAATTCGTACGTATGAATGAGCGCAAACATACCTCCTTTGGGATTTTACTGCCTATATGAAAACATTGCGACTTACATGTATTCAATCTAAATCAAGCAAATAGACAGTTAATTTACGTTAATGTTCGTCGTCATCATGGTACATTAATTTGAGGATAGAAACATAATTGATTTAAAAATACATTATTGGCAATACGATAGGTTATACTTACAGTATAAGATGAGTTACAAAAGTTATCTCACCTTATAGACCCAAAAGTGCTACAAAGATATAGCTGTGAGCTAATGTACATAAACACATAGGCGAATCCATTACAGTCTAATTTAAAACATACTGACAAGGTATTGTTTGTTTTTTTACATGAATATCTTCGATCATTTCAAGATATTAATGACATTCACTCATGAGTTATTTTTAAATAAACAAAATAAATAATAAAATATTCTGCAAGAATTGTATTCTCATTCATTTGAGTAATCGTTTCATCAGCCAAAATCATTTTCACAATTTTTTTTTTTTAATTTAGCGCTCAATTTTAACTCTCAGTTATTTCATTTCCTTCCCGAAGTGATTTGTATTGCAATGTTATGCAGGCCTGATGTGCTTCGCAATAAACAAGGCTATTTGTACCCGTATGATGTTGTAAATATACACGTTCTGAACAGTTACAATTCAAACAAATATTAAAATATCGCTTTATTCTGGAAAAGTTTTATGTTTCAAGTGAATCGATAGTTTAATACGTCAAATACCATTTGTTATTCGAAATAGATGGGATAATTATCGCGATCGCATTTCGGGTAATTGACAATACCTGGGATGTGAGCATCCTGTTGGATCGAAAGCGAGTGTCGTATAATCTGTTGCCACTTTTTATGATCTTAATGTTACCCCTTCAACCGCATGACATAATAAATCTCCAGCGATGAAATATGTTGTTTGAACAGGCAACTACTAATTTAATGGTGGAATATCAATCTTACGACAAAAAAACATCTTGTGTGAATGTGAGATATTTGTCCCGTTTTTGATATCCACTAATAGGTTATTTAATGGTCACATCAGATCTTCAGCAAAAGCAATATGGAAGGTGATGACATAATTATCTTATAACAAAATGGGATTTAGTCATATATAAATTCTCGCAACTGAAACATTGTCGCATTTACTCCGTGTGTATTGCGTTCATTTGCTCATATCATCAGGCTTTGGAATGTGCGAAATCGCTAAACAATATGTACATCTTTACAGTAAATTCCTTACATTTCGCAATATGAAAAACTTCGCTTGACTACAACTAGGGATATGATTGTAATTTTCAAACATCTTGAAACTTTTCGTAGACACACATTTCAATAATGGGTATTATTCATAAATTAATTGATTTATTCAATAAATATAAAAATAAACGATTTTAAGTTCCATGCCAAAAACCGATATAAAAACATTTTTTGATGAATTGTAATATAGGCTCAACTAATTTATGATTGATAAATGTGCACACAAGAATACATGTTATTAACACCATGGACTGATTTGAACATTCATTCTTGATGACATATTCGTATTTCCACTGGTTGCATCGTTTGATCTTGACCTCATTATTATGTCCCGACAAAACCTTTCATATGAGTCTTATTAAATCGATTACCTTGGTCTTATAACCTTAAAGTGGCTATAAACGGGAGACAACTCTGGATAGAACCGGATTAATTTGTCCCTAAACCCCTAGAAGAATGACGGGACAACCAGATTAGTCGTTGCTGGAGTAAAGAGGCTCGAGTGTTGAGATATGTTTACTATGTCAATAATAACAGCTACTCATTAAGTAATTCAGAACAAACAGATTGATTATTAAATACCAAACCGTAGTAAATTCATTACCGTTAAAAAAAAGCCTACTCAGGCAAGCGGAATTAATTATAATCAGATCATTATTACCAAGAGACCACTTCTATTAAAGGGGCATCACGCTGAAGTAACTTTTTTTTTGTCTTTTTTCCAAATACTACATAAACATATCAAGTGAGACTCCTTATGGAAAATGCCGATCGGATTTGGCTGAAATAGATTCATAAAAATGATTAAATCTAAGATAATCATCGGTATTTCTACCTGTCTGACCAACGTTTTGTTCAGGGATTTCCCTCTACTAGCGCATGCGCATAGCACACCATTTCTTTGTAAACAAAATGACTGGCCGTGTGAAGTAAGCCAAAGAAAAGTGTTGTACCGTGTCAGCTACGAAGCGAATAGTTGCCAAATGGTCAAAAGATAGCGCAAGGGGTACGTTACGGAATCATTATTGCCAGTGGGAAGTATTCAAAGCAGAAAATAACTGCCCTAGCAGTCAGTACGGTGCATGTTTTCTTCCGGATAGCGGCCGGTTAAGCTGAAATAAAATCGACAGAAATGCTAGCGCTGTTTATGTTATGAATAAATATCTAAAACTATTAACCTCGCTAGTATCATTGTGTGAGTTTGAACACAGATGAACTTAGTTTAATATGTTAATGGGCATGTATCGGAGAGAGTTTACTTTGTGTTTTTTATAATTATACAGTGGTTTATGCAAACGAAAGGGATAAGTGACTGGTTAGTTTGATTTTGCCATGAGGCCCCCCAAGGGATAACTGCTGTGATGGCCACGGCGTATTCTGTTCTCTGATCCTCTGTCGGTGCTCGGGGTCAAATGAGATACGTGCGCTATTAGATTTACATAATTTATAATATTACCGGGATCAGTAAAATGGTATGATTTAATTATATTGCTGAATTAAACGATTGTTTTTTGTTTTGACATGCAAGTTTTAAATTAGTACTAATATAATACCCGGCCTGCCCTGGCGCGACGACGCAATATATAAAAAAAAAATCGCTCTTCGTCAGAAAGCTACGTTATCGCAGCTAGATTAAAAATGTCAAAATGACGGACCAGGATGAATAAC